GTGGGCCAGCGGGCGCGCGCTCGGTTGTGCTCGCGCGCGGACTCGCGCTCCGCGTTGGCGCAGGCGCAACGAAGGCCTGGCTTCCGGCTCGCGTCCGTGCGCCCCCTGGCGGCCCGTCACACCTGCCGGACGGTTCCCCGCTCTGCGGAGCGGGTGGCACTGACACGCGGGCACTTGAAAAGTATTAAAGCACAATTTTAAAAAACCTTGCAGCAAACAACGACAGCAAAACAAACTAAAAACCTTTATGTTTCAAAGAACACTACCCCGAAACCAAAAGAACCCAGAGTGGGAGGAAATATTTTCAAGTCAGAAGGAGCTTGTATCTAGAACATATGAAGTCCTCTGAAGAATCCAGACACACGAATGCACGTAACACACCAGTTAGCCGAAACCCCCAGAACAGGAGGGTCCCGGGGGGGCCCGAGCGCTGGGGAAGGCGAGCGTGGCAGCGACTGCCGGGAGGTGCGCGTGTAAGGTGATGAAAGTGCCCCACAGTTAGGCTGCTGCCACGGCTGCGTAAGCTGCTACCCTTCGGTGGTCAACTGTGCAACGGAGCTGCTTAAACAAAAGCCCGGACGGCTGACCATCCTTCGGGCGTGGGCGCCTGGGCGCTGGGCGGGCACCCTGCAAGCTTGAGGGTGGACCTACGGGCACAGCGGCTGGGCTCCCGCCTTCAGGGTCTGCGCCGCCGCCGCCGCGGGCTCTGCGCCTGCGCCCCGCTGGGCTCGGGGATCTGGCAGGAGTTTGGGGTGGGCAGGGCTGGCACCGGGCGCAAGCGGAGGCTGGGTCCCGCGCAAGTCCAGGCCGCAGGGGGTCCGCTCCGCCCGCCTGGTCCCGCCCCGAACGCCCCGCCCCCGTCCAGGCCACGCCCACCGCGGAGACTTCCCCTTTGGTAGCGTCCAGGCACCAACTCCCGATGATAAATGTCATCATCATGTATCACGAAACATGTACTAATAAGAACACTTTTAAACACTTAAGACATCTCAGGCAAACACTATGGAGACATGTGGACCCTCACCTGAATAAACTGGATGAACGGTGTATATCAGTCTGCCTTGCACGTAGAAGGTCGCGGGTTTGAGCCCCAGTGAAAGCAGGACTGAGAAGTAACATCTGGCCAGGTGTCGTGGCACAAACCTGTAGTCCCAGTACTCTGGGAGGCTGAGGTAGGACGTTTGCAAGCTCAGACCCACCTAGGGCAATTTGGCAAGCCCCATCTCCACATGATGTTTAAAAGCCTGGTGATGCGGCTCATGTGAGGCCCTAGGTTCAAGCCCCAGTAGTTCAAGCCCCAGTACTAAAGAGACAAAGCCGCTCATGGAGACTCTAGGGTCATGCTTCCTGGTCTCTTTTCTGGCTCTGTGGCCTCCCAGCTGCGGGACCCTGAGCCTCTGTAGGACTCTAACCTCTCTCATGCAGGGCAATAAGCAGCCCTGTGCTGCAGGCCTTCTGCGGAGAGCTGCCTGCTCCTGGCCCCGGCCATTCCCTTGGGCCTCCAGCAGCAGTAAGCACTGGTCACTGGTGATATGATCAGGCTGAGACCCACACAGAACCAGACCAGACCTTCTGACAGGAGAGAAGTTTTTACTGGGGGGAGCGACACAGCCGGCTGCCCAGCAGACTAGGACAGCCCCGAGCTGAGCAAAGCATGGGGTTTTTAAAGCTAACTTTTGGGGAGGGCGTCTGTGGGCCAGAACACTTTTTGGGAGGGGGTGTCCGCGGGCCAGAACAGCCTGAGCAGGTGGAAAGTGTCATTTGTAAGAGCTGAACGTCTGGTTCTGCCAAGGCAGATGAGGGCGAGGTTGGCTTTTGTCGAGGGGAACTAGAGGGGAACAGGTGAAGAGGGAGTTTTTATTAACTCCTTAATAAAAAAGCTTAAATCTCCTGCAGGGGTGGGTGAGTTGCCTTGTGACTTACCAGTTGGCAGGTGCCAGCTCTGGTCAGCCTCCTCTGGGATGGCTCAGGGACTCAGAGCCCAACTGGACTGGGCCTCGGCTTCCCCGCCTGTGAAGGGGACTGCTGGCAGGCAGGTTCTCCTATGCCAGGGTAGAGGCATGGCTCGATGAGGATTCCTAAGGGGCCCAGAGCCTCTCGCTTCGGTGTGGTGTGCCAGGTCCCTACACGTTCTGACCACAGCCGGGCCTGTGGTCCTGCCCTCTGCCTGCCCAGCATGTGGGACTTGCCCAGGCCAGGACTAAGTACAGCCCACAAAGTACAGCCGGGCCCACCCTGCAGTAAGTGTCCGGGAGGCCCTCCCTCATACTCGCCTTCTTGCCATTTCCTGGGCCCCAAAGAGCCCCACTCCTAACTAGAGAGGACTCTGGGCTCATGCCCCGCTCCGCCAGGTGAAGTTCTCCTTCAGTCTGACAGCCATGCCTGGGCTGGCCATCCTGTGGGGCTGGGCTGGTCCCCTCTGCCTGCGTGTGCTCACCGTGTGACTGCTACACCTGCCTCCTGTCCTACTATCGGCTACTGCCTGGCCCCTTTCATTTGACAGATCCTAGAACGTGTGTCTGGTAATCAGGCTCCATGGACCAAGACAGGCTGCATGATTTGGCAAGCAGAAACTCTTCTTCCTTTCTTCTTTGCTTGAAGCTGAACCAGGTACAGAGAAGGCGGAGTCCACTGGTGTGGGCTTCGTGCCAGGTGTCAGTGAGGGGCTGATGCTGCAGTCAGCTGCTAGGACTCGGCTGCTACACCGTGATTTGGCTGAATTCCTTGTTTTTACGAATATATGGCACAGCTGGAGTCAGCAGCAAGCGGGATTAAGGGATCTGGGCCCAAGAGGAGGCTGAGTTTCCAGGTCCCTAGTGTGACTCTTTTTGAGCCACAGGCAGGAGAATGACCCCCGTGTGCTGTGATCTGCATCTTGGGTGTCTGGGCGTCCAAGGAGCCACTTGGGACACGCAGCTTCAAAGTAAAACAGGGAGAAAGCATGTAGACTGAAGCACAACAGGATGGAGAGAGGCTGTGAGTGTCTGCAGGGCCGGTCAGGCCCAAGAAGGTGCTGAGGTTCTGTAAGAAAGGCCCTCCCTCTGGCCAGCGAGCTGTCAGGGACACAGCTCTCCCTGCGGGTGGCTTCTTCCTGACTGCAGGGAGCGGAGGCGGCACCTGGGGGTTAAAGTGTGGCTGCCTGGGCGAGAGTCCCCGGCTGGTTTGCTGAGCACGGGCCTGCCACACTCCTGGGCTGGGCATCGGCATGACTGAGAGGCCGCAGCGTGCGGGGGGATCTCAGCCTGCAAAGGGCCCTGAGCCTCACGGCTTGTCACCAGTGTCCCCACCTTGGGCACCTTGGAGGCCTGGGTGCTGCAGGGAGCTCGCCAGACTGGAGGGCTATTTTGGACTCTCTGGGCCTCCTAGCCCTCCAGGGCCCCTGGGGTACACTGCACGGGATGGTGCCGGGCATAAAAAGGAAAATAAAAAGGCATTGCATTTTCTTTTCATCTTGACAGTGGCCCCTTAGGCCCACCTGTAACCTGCACTGGGCAGCTGTAACACCGTGATGAACGTCAGGGCCAACTCCACGGCCCTGGGGAGAGCGTGAGATGCCTTGCGTGCGTGCGGCGGAGCCTGGGTGTGAAACGAGGAGGGGCTGGCAGGGTGCACCTGTGGGGCCAGCAGGAGGGCTCATGCGAGGAGCTTGTTCCAAGGTGAGGGCCAGCACTGAGACCCTGGCGGGGGCTGCAAGAAGTCAGTCCTGGAGCCAGCACAGGAAAGAATCCAGAGCTGTACAGGAGGGCAGAGTGCTTGGTGATCAGCTGTCCAGCCCTCATCTCTGCGTTTCTCTGTAGCGCAGAAGATTAAGCGACAGTAACAGTGGCTCTTGGGAGCGGCAGGGCAGGTGGGGCAGCGTGTGGTCCATTTCTGTGTATCCTTTAGTAGGAGCGGGTTTTGAATCACTTAATGAGTAGACTACTTAGAAAATGAAATGAAAAACTCTACAGGGTGACGTATTACATTTGCCACAATAAACAAGCGGAGATGGCTGATCATGGTGGCGTACCAGAACTCTGGGAGGCTGAGGCAGGAGGATCAAAGGACTGAGCCCAGTCTAGGCAACTTAATGACCCTGTCAATAAAAACAATTTTTAAAAGGGCTGGCTGGGCGTGGTGGCACACGTCTGTAATCCCAGCACTCGGGAGGCTGAGGCAGGAGGATCATTGCGAGTTCAAGGCCAGCCTGGGCTACAAAGTGAGCTCAAGTCCAGCCTGACCTACATAGCTAGACCTT